GTGTAAACAAAAATATAACCTAATAAATTACAATTAAGGCGTATTGAATGTTAAAATGTGTTTTAAACATAAAGTGGTTATCATTACCCATTTTACTCTTAGTAATTTAATAATTGAATACATTTAAAAAAAAGTTTAGTTCAGAAGTATCGTATCGGTATCGATATCGACGATACTGCCTTGAAAAATATCGGTATCGTATCGAAAACAAAATAAGTGGTATCCCCCATCCCTAGAAGTGGGATGTGTCCCAAATAAGTCAAGATTAAATACAGCACAAGACTAGTTGTTTTTACAGTTACCAAACAATGCCGCAATGTGCCACATTAATAGAGAATTCAAATGGCGTTTGTATATTGGCTATGTAACTTTGAATGTGGCTCATTCAAATACAATTAAGAGTCCGAATCACTTGTTTTATAAACAGTGTTGGGGAAAGTTACTTTTAAAAGTAATGCATTACAATATTGCGTTACTCCACAAAAAAGTAACTAATTACGTTACTTAGTTACTTTTTATGGAAAGTAATGCGTTACGTTACTTTTAAAATCTGGGCAGGGCTTGCTTGTTTGCTTTTAATATAAAAAGTTCTACTTTTGGCAAATATAAAAGCCCTTTCACACCAAAAGCCTCAGGCTGAAGGAAATGTAAATTCACGTCTGTACAGTAGAACGCAGAAGAAGAAAGTTCAGCACTCTTCAGCAATAAAAAAAGAAGAAGAAATGTTAGTTTATCATGTGTAATTTTTGCTTATTAGTACGGTTGAACTGGATCATCGAAGGTCAGAAGCAAAGACATTGGTTAATAGAATGGGATTAAATACATAAAGGATATTTGTGTTGTTTAACATTTAATTATTGGAGGTTTGCGTCATATTCTGAGTTGCATTATTTTTATTCATTTTGAGGAATACTGAATCTGTGCTTTTTTTGTGTGAGTGAGATGAGTTAATGCATATTCATATTTATTTAGAACTACAGTAACATCTTCTGATTTCTCTCAACATGGGGACAGGAGAGCTGTCAATCAATAAATTGAGAAAAAAAAAGTAACTTGAGTTACTTATTTGAAAAAGTAACTCAGATATTCTCTTGTAAATTAAAAAGTAATGCGTTACTTTACTAGTTACTTGAAAAAAGTAATCTGATTATGTAACTTGCGTTACTTGTAACATATTACCCCCAACACTGTTTATAATAGTAGTATATTGATTTGAATCTGTTTTATTTACTTTAGTATACATAACAATGATAAACTTAATTGGTCATGTTATACATTTTTTCTTTTGCTTTCATCCACTTAAACGTGTGCGATATATCACGATAATGAATATGTTTGAAAGTGTTTTGATCCTTTATTGTTCGGTCACACTTTACATTAGGGCTTCATTAGGTAACATTAGTTAATTCATTAGTTAACATAAACTGCCAATGAAAAATTCTAAACTTTTGTTAATCTTAGGAAATTCCAATATTTAAAAACACATTTTTAAAATCAAAAGTTGCAACTGTGTTATTTAATGAGCTAACATGAACTAAATTAATTTTTTTTAAACAAAGATTAATAACTTCTGTAGCAAATGTAGCTATTGCTCATTGAGAATGTTAATGCATTGACTAAGGGTAACTAATGAGGTCTTATTGTAAAGTGATACCTATTGGTCTTTATAGTTCTTTTGCACTTTAATCTGTGTAAAAATTTGAACTTTATAAATTTTTTTGTGTATTGCTTTATTGTATTTAAATGTTCAGTTATTTTTGTTATAAGAAAAAAGTTATTAAACCTGTTATACTGTATTATGACAGCACTTTTTTGCAACTAAATTTCAATATTGTGATAATACCGTATACCGTGATAAAAGCATTAGCAATTAATCGCAACATGAAAATTTGATACCGGCATATCCCTACATCCACTATTATCCAATTTTTTTTTTTTTGGAAAGAAGTTTCCTAGCTCACCAAGATGGCAAATACAGTAAAAACAGAAACTAGATAGTAAAGTTAGTAGACAAACTTTAAGTTGGCTTGAAAAAGCCGAGCCAGAAAGTTTGTAAAAGTTTTAAAAGCTTGAAGTTTGAAGGTTTTCAGTTTGAAGTAGTTTGAAATACTTAAAATAGTTTTAAAGATCAAAGTTCGAATGTTTTGAAGGCAATACAGTCTATCAGTAGAGCAGACATAGAAAAACAGATCGTTAGGTTACCTGGGGTGGCTTCTAGTGTGGTTGCTAGGGTACTCAAGGTGTTTGCTAGGGTGTTTCTAGGGTACCTGGGGTAGTTGCTTAGGTATTGCTATGTGGTTGCTAGGGTACTTGGGGTGGGTGCTAGGCTGTTGCTCTGCAGTTGCTAAGGTAACCGGGCTGGTTGCTAGGGTGTACAGTGTGGTTGTTAAGAGGTTGCTATGCAGTTGCTAGGGTATTCTTGGTGGTTGCTAGGGTGTTGTCTGAGCAGACAGTCTGGCAGCGTGGCTCTGGCTCTCAGATGGCGTTACTCTGCACTGACGTATGTGGTTACTAGGCTACCTGGGTTGGTTGCTAAGGTGTTGCTATGCGGATGCTAGGGTACCCAAAGTGGTTGCTAGGGTGTTACTATGTGGTTGCAAGGGTAGCTGGGGTGTAGCGAAGGTGTTGCTAGGTGGTTGCTAGGCTACCTGGGGTGGTTGCTAGGGTGTTGCTATGCAGTTGCTAAGGTACACAGGGCCATTGCTAGGTTGTTGCTATGCGGTTGCCAAGGTACTTTGGGTGGTTGCTTTGGTGTTACTATGTGGTTGCTATGGTACCCAGGCTGTTGCTAGGGTGTTGCAATGTGGTTGCTACTGTACTCAATGTGGTCGCTAAGGTGTTACTATGTGGATGCTATGGTACCTGGGTTGGTTGCTAGGGTGTTGCTATGGTACCCGGGGTGGTTGCTAAGGTGTTGCTATGCAGTTGCTAAGGTACCCAGGGCCGTTGCTAGGGTGTTGTTATGCCGTTGCTAGGGCACCCAGAGTGGTAGCTAGGGTGTTGCTAGGCTACCTGGAGTGGTTGCTAGGGTGTTTCTATGTGGTTGCTATGGTACCCAGGGTGGTTGCTAGGGTGTTACTAGCATGTTTTTAGCATGATTAGCAAGTTTTTAGCATGTTGCTAGCATGATTAGCAAGTTCTTCGCATGTTTCTAGCATGATTAGCAAGCTACTAGCATGTTGTTAACATGATTAGCAAGTTTCTAGCATGTTGCTAGCATGATTAGCAAGTTGTTCACATGTTACTAGCATGTTGTTAACATGATTAGCAAGTTACTAGCATGTTGTTAACATGTTTCTATGCTAATCCAGTTAAAACCAACTAAGACCAGCCTGACCTGCTAAACAAAAAGTGGCCAAAACCACTTTAAAACCAGCTTGGGAGACCAGCCAAAGCAGCCAATCAGCTGTTTTCTTTTTCAGTTGGGAGTTGTTAAACTTTGCTATAGCAATAGACAGCTTAAATAAACCATAAGATTCATCGTACAAAAGTTTTGACCCCTCAATGAAAGTCTATGGGATTTTAGGTGGTTTTGATAGTCTGGTTTACGAAAACCGTAAGCCGGATCAGTTAGAAAAGATATAGCAACCCGAGTCAGACCAGTCTGAAGGTCTGGGCCAAGTTTGGTGGTTGTAGCTTTATAAGTCTAGGAGGAGATACACTTTAAAATTTGGTCTCAGAAGAAGTTTAAATAGGATTTCAGCAAGTTGGCTTTTTCAAGCCAACTTAATAATGTGAAATATTATTACAATTAAATAGTTTTTTTTCTTTTTGAATATATATTAAATATATATATTTAATATATGTCATTTAAATGTAATTTCTGTAATGTAAGGCTGAATTTTCAGCATCATTACTCCAGTCTTCAGTGTCACACGATCCTTCAGAAATCATTCCAATACGCTGATTTGATGCTCAAGAAACCTTTCTTATCATCAGTGTTTCATATTTTGTGGACATCTTGATACATTTTATGAATATAAATTTAAAACATTATAAATTGTCACTTTTAAAGAGGTCATATGATGCGATTTCATTTTTTCCTTTCTCTTTGGAGTGTTACAAGCTCTTGGTGCATAAAGAAGATCTGTAAAGTTGCAAAGACTAAAGTCTCAAATCCAAAGAGACATTCTTTATAAAAGTTAAGAGTCAGCCACACCTACCTAAAACGGCTCGTTCTAACACGGCCCCACATGTCTACCTCCCTATGTGGGAAGATTTGCATAACGCCGCCCAAATGTTCACGCAAAGAAAGAAGGCGTAACTTTTATTCTCGCTGTAGTATTGTTGCCGCCGCCGCCATGTCGTGAAGACGCTGTGTGTTTCGTTGTGAAAGCGAAACTACTTTGTTTGGCCTTCCAAAAGAGGACGATATCCGCTTCGTCATGCCTAGAGCTGATCCGTGCTGGTCGCTGAGGGAATACATCAACTTCGCGCTGTGGATCGCCGGATCGGCTTTCACCGTGGACGAAGCGGAGTTCAGCCCGGGGTCGTCACATGTGGTTGCCGCAAGCCTGCCGGACGCTCCTTCGTCAAATCTGCCGGCCGCGCCGTTCTCAAGGCCTCTGGCCTCCGCTCACTCAAGGCCACGGTGTGTGACGCTGTTTTCTTGTGAAAGTGAAACTACTTTGTTTGGCCTTTCAAAAGAGGACACGACGCAACAAATGCCTCGTTTATAATGGGTTTTAATGTTTTTGTCTGGTCGCTCCGGCCGGACAGGGCATCACAATATGTTAAGGGGCGTTACATTTCCGTCACACGCTTGAGATATTCGGCCAATCACAACGCACTGGATAGCTGGCCAATCAGAGCACACCTCGCTTTTCGGACCGATGAGCTTTGTAAAAATCGACGCATTTCAGAAAGGCGGGGCATAGAGGAGAAACAATAATGTAGAGTATGTGGAAAATAATGTGTTTTTTTTTACCTTAAACCGCATAAACACATTTCATTACACCAAATACACAACATAATGTTCTTTTTAACAGCATCATATGACCCCTTTAATCAAATTAATGTATCCTTGCTGAATAAAAGTACTAATTTCTTAAATAAGAAATTATTTAATTTCTTATTATTTAATTTCTTTCCCTACTTACCTGTAGGTAAGTAGGGAAAGCCTCCTCCAGTTTGGTCTTCTTTTTCCTGTAGCGTTTCCGTATTTTAACCTCAGGAATGTCAGGAAAATCAGACAAAGGATGTTTTACATCCATTGGAGTGTCAGGCGCTTGGTCGCCCCAGCCTATCAGGACAGAAAAGAGTAAACATATTCATTCTTTACATTAAAATTCTTTGTAATCCAAAAATGACAACATATATAATAGATATATTAATGCATTTTTTGGTTTGACCTCAAATTTATTAGTGTGGATGTTAATGATAGATCAGTCTACATTAGGGGTGACATGTGATCCAGCCTTATGCACTTCGGACATTTGACAGCAGTTGTTACATTAAAAAAGATATTAAAAAAATGATGAAGACTGAAGATATTGATTTAAGATTCAACATAAGCTACCAGAAAGTCATCGTGCTGAAAGTGTTGAAAGATACTCACTCTCATCTTTGCCGTGCAGGGTCTCAGAGCCAGTGGAGTCCTTCCTGACCAAGGCCTGTTTGGTTCTGCCCGGACCCGTCCGGTTCCTCTGTCTGACCATGAAACCTCCGATACCTGAATAAAAGCAGAAACTTCAGTGGAATAGATTTTTGTTCAATAATATTTTTTCTTTTACATTTTGTATTTTATAGTACCAATTAATATTTATGTAATAATTATCCACTTTTCCCCATTGAAAACAATGCAATATTCTTTCTATTTTATATATATATATATATATTTTTTTTTTTTGGTGTGTTCACATAAGAAATGCCATAAAAGTCACCAAGTTTCTAACCGTTCCGATGAAGCTATAATTTTTTTAAATTTCAAAATGTAAAACTTTTCAGTGTATGCAAGTAAGAAAGTTCTTTTCCCAACAATATCAAACTTTGTTATATAAAAAAGTCATTTTTCATGACCATTTTCCATTCGTTAGCTGATATAGATATTACATATCACAATTTTGTTTTTATTAGATTAATAAACAAAGCAAGACAAGCTCTGTGCCTTCTACTCTATTCCTTTTTCTAATTATGCATAATAGCCCTGTATAAAGTACAAGCATTGTTTTGGAAACGAGGAACGCTCTCATACAAAGGAAAAGTGTTTGGTTATACTCTGCTGAAGCATCTTGTCTCTCACCTGGGCGGTAGGGCTTCCTCTTCCTCTTCTTGCAGGGATCTGTGTCTTTAGAGTCGTCTTCTGCTGTGGCCTCTCTCTCGGGGCTGGAGTCGGACTTCCCCTCACCGTCCACCGTCTCCCCTTCTGCTGCAAAACACACACACACACACACAGCTGTCAGGAATCACACACCTGTAAGCAAACCCAGACTACAGGAAGAGAACTGTAAAATGAGACACTTTAATACTGTATGTCTTATACAATAGATTTAGTCCATTTGTGCTAAAAAGAACATCTCAAATCACTATAATGAGCCGTCTACCTAGTTTTATGGCACTATAGGTGCACTCCCAATGTGAAGGCTGTTTTAAATTGTAGGTAGACATCATGCTGCCTTCTACGATACATCATTTTCAAAATAATCACATGGATCTCTATAATGCTTTGTCATGAGTTCACCAAAAATTTCCCATCCAAGATGATTGACAGAGATAAAAGGAATACTGACTATAATCATATAATGTGTCCATGGACTTTTTTTTGCCCATTAATGGCATATGAACGTTTCCAAACGTTCTTGTCAGCCGAACCGCTTGGATGTAAAATATTTAATTCCAAGTACCCCATGAGATTTTAAGCTAATATTTCAATAATTTAACAACACATTTGCAGGTTTGTGGTTCCCTGATGTTGGTCACATGATGTAAGTGAACAGATAAAACATAAATGTTTTAGTAAGTGTTTTATTTTGTTTATTGTTTACTATTGTATTATTCTTTTAACACTAATTAAATTGAAGACTTATTACTGTTGTAATTTAATTAAGTACTCATAATTACAGTATATTGCATTACATATATATATACAGTATATTACAGATTACATTACTAATTACAGTTTTCATAATGTAATCTATAATCAGTAATGGACTATATGATAATTATCGGCCTAATAATTATTGACACTGCAAGTTACAATTCTAACAACTCAGTCTTAAATTATTCACTTTCAAACGTTTAAATCATCAAACTTTTGGCAGAATACTGGTAAAATGCTACAAACTCTACGAAATAGTGCAAATGTGTAAATAAAGTGACCATTGTATTCCCATTTCAATAAGCAGTAATCAGGAGTTTATTAAGGTTTAATAAATTCTTAGTTACTAGTAAATATGTGTTCCCTAATCTAAAGTGTTACCCTAACCCTTTAATTCAATCGCAGCATTTGATTTTCAAAATTGTGCTAAGCTATATTAACGGTTACTGATTAACTGTGCAGGTACATTTATTTATTTTAATTTTACATACAATTTAATTATAAGCATTGTTCAACTCTGGTGTAGGTTTAAATGCTCTTAGTTTGGTTTGAGTTTGGTAAAGTTGTTAACCTTCAAAACGGGTATGAAACTACTGCTAAAAGAAGTATGGCTGAGAAGTAGGGCTGTCAAAATGACTGAAAAACTAAATTCGAATTTTGTACTTAAATATTATCAAGATTCGAATTATATTCTAATTTAAAATGCATAATTTCAGTTATGGTGAAGAATAGTTTTTGGCTTCTCTTCTGAGGCCACAAGAGGGTGCATCGACCAAATATTACTAATGCACGTTTATTCAAAGCATAAGATAACGACAATCTGCGAAAAAAGTGCATAATGTTTAAAATCATGTTTATAAACCAATTATAATGAATTAAGTTGCTTAACTATAAACAAAACAGCATCATGTATGTATGCATAGTTTAATACAAAGTGCCGAAAGTCAATCACACAGAGTACTTTTTAAATTTAAAAACGTGAGATGCAGTGGGATGGGGGAAAAAACCCAGCCATAAAGTCTCAATATATGTTTTTTTAGATAGAAAAAGATAGAAAATGCAACGTGAGATGCAGTGGGATGGGGGAAAAAACCCCGCCATAAAGTCTCAATATATGTTTTTTTAGATAGAAAAAGATAGAAAATGCGCGAAATATGTGTTCGGTGAACGGCTTGGTTTCAGTTTTGACGTAAGCAAGATCTCTGCATTGATGTTCTCTTTTTCCGCAATATTTTTAATGAACAACGCAGCAGTGCCGCATCTAGTGGCTTCAACTGGATAGGCTAACAAAAACATTATAATGCAACGACACTTACATCGTCATCGCATCTTGTGCGCCACTGATAAGGCTGCCTCCTTAACGCACACCTAAAATTCGAATGCAACGTTTTTGCATTCGAATATGGATTTTTAATTTAAATTCGACGACTATTCGAAATTCAAAAAAATTTTTGACAGCCCTATTGAGAAGTAAGAAGCAGTACTTTTGGTGTCATCGAGGTCTCTGTCTCTGGAGAGTTCAGTCTGTGGGTCTGGAGGCGTCTGCAGCACGGCCACACTGTTCTGGTTTATGATCTTCAGCTTGAGTTTGGGTTTGGAGCGTCTCCGCCGCGAGGCTGCATTGGCGAGACTCTGGAGCTGCGACAGGCCAGACTCTGTGAGACAAACACCGTCCTGGGTGTACGTCCTCGTCAGCTCTGTGGAGCAGAAACACAGAGGAACCTCATTGGAAAAATGAAGAACCGACTCAAAAGAACGATTCACTCTCAAATCGTACATTACTATGGCTTGTGAGAAGGTTTTACTCTACAAAGAATAACATATGTCTTTAACAGCTAAGCATAACCAGAATTAAATATGGAGATTTCAGCAACACTTTAAGGTTCCATTAGTTAAAATTAGTTAATACATTAACTAACAATAAGCAATACATTTGTTACAGTGTTGATTCAACTGTTCATTGTTTGTTCAGGTCCATTAAATACTATTAACAGATACGACCTTTGATTTTAACAACATATGTAAATGTTGAAAATGAACATGAACTAAGATTAAAAAATGCATTCAAAGTAACATTATGTAGTTAAAATGTTAACAAAATGGATCCTTATTTTATAGCGCTACCAAAACATCTTTCAATTTACTATAATTTGACACTTTTGTAAATATGTTTAAAACTATATAAATAAATACACAAACAAACCGTAATGTTTTCGCAAAATGACATCAGTACCAGGATCTCTTGCTTTTGTGACTCTCTGCGGCATGAGAACAGACTCGACTAAATCCAAACAAGACTTGGCCGGCGTTCCAGGCGCTGTGTAACGAACACACAAATACACAATGTCAACCAAAAAAACGATTTATAAACGTAAAACTGACTGGATTGTGCAAAAGCAGTGTTTACGGGGAGAGAGGGGGGTGTGGCCTTGGCACAGATTGCAGTCAAAGCTGGTATCGGCAATCTTCTCCACCTCCTCCTCTGAGTGGATTCCCTGACACGAGGCATGCATCCACCTGCACACACGAAAATGGCAGGTTTGTACTACAGATATGAATGATACATACATACATAAAAAAAAGCATATATATATATATATATATATATATATATTAGTGCTGTCAAACGATTATTCACATCCAAAATAAGTTTTTGTTTACATAATATATGTGTGTGTACTGTGTATATTTATTATGCATATATAAATACACACACATACAGTATATTTTGAAAATATTTACATGTATATATTTATATAATTGATATTATATATAAATATATTTAATATACAAATATAACATATTTTTCTTAAATATATACGTGCATGTGTGTGTATTTATATATATATCCATAATAAATATACACAGTAAACACACATATATTATGTAAGCAAAAACTTTTATTTTGGATGAGATTAATTGCTGATTTGTAAGCTATGGCATACAACTGTTAAAATTACACAATGAAGTTTTCAAAGTAATAAAGTTACAGTTACATAATAATAGTTCTACTTCAATTCGTTTTTTTTTAAATAAAAATTTAAATGGTGGCTGTCATAAAAAATTGATGGATTTATTCAAACATAAATTAAACATAAGAACAGTAAAAAATATAATGAACATGTTATATGGTGCATATATTTAGCAAAATACCCCTCTGTACAGTTTATTTTTCTGGATGACTAATGAGTTTATGGTCACTGAATATGTTTGTTTCTGAGATAAATGTGACGTTACGTGACATTGTTTATGTTTACAAGACTTTATATTGATGTCTTTGCGCGGCTGAAACACTGATTGAGCGATTGCATGAGACAGGATACAGATTGTAAAGTTGTACTCTTTCTTTTAACTTACCTTCGGATGTTTAGTCATGTTTATTTTGTGCCGAAGCTGGTATTAATGTGGAGGAGATAATCAGTTCACGTGCGCCTCGCGCTGCTGCGTCTGTTGAACTGAGGCGCTACAGCGATCTGTCACTCCACATTAAACAGAGCTAAAACGGCATTTATTGTTTGAATACTGCAATACAATGGACATAAATTGAAACCTGGGACTTTGTTTCATATTAAAATCACCAAAGCACAATGTTTATTGCGATATATTGGATGGGAAGTGTCCTTCAACGTTCCGTCCATTAACTGAAAACAGGCTAGACTAATCGATTCTTGGGATTTAAGAATCGATATCGTTCTGTAAAAAAGAGAATCGATTAATATCGAGATATCAATATTTTTTACCCAGCCCTAATATATATTTATATATATATATTAGGGGTGGAACGATACATGTATTCGTACCGAACCATCACGGTACGGACATCTCGGTTCGTTGCATGAGGCTTTACAACGAATCCAGGCAATTCATCCCCAATCCAGAATGCAGCAGCAATGCAACACTGTTTGATAACCGCCAGCAGAAGAATAGCGAATGCCATGAGTTGCACAATGCGCACTTGAAAACAAAGCCCACTAGACAGTGACCATGTGCTGATTCTGAATGCGTCTCTCACATAGACTGACAAAGGAGTATACTTTAGGCTTGTGCACTCAACTGTTTGCGAAATGGAGCTTTGTGCTCGTGTATCCTACCTCTCTCATTCGCCACTAATCCAAATATTCCATAATATTTCCATATTTGTGCGTGCGCGCCGGCACGATCACTTCAACTGTTTCCTTATACCAGCAGAATCAACTTTAAACACTTATTGTCTTTTTAATAATGCATCACTGTACAAAAGGTCTGCTTTTATTTGTGTACATTCACAATGAAAACAACACATTGTGCTTTTGTAAAATAAAGAAAACAAATAGGATGTCGGTTTCTGCCATTTGAGTTTCCTTTCTGCGAACAAATTAAGCGTGTTACAAAAATGAACTGAAACTCATACATAGGTTACGTTGCGTGTTTTTTTCCCTTGTTTATCTGTAAACTAAATCAAATATATTTCAAGAATTTATTCCTTGTATGTATATATGTACAGCAGATTTTATACATATATATATATATACTTGATAGTAGAAATCCTGCTATTTTAACATAGTGTAAATAGGTATTTGCACTTAGTGTAAATAGCATATTGCTAAAAATACTGCTATTTTCACTTAGT